CTTCTAGCTTCTTGGTGGCAATGAGTTACGGAGGCTATGCCTGGCCTTGGTGACTCAGGCGACCCAGGCTGGGGAGCCCAGTGGAAGCGTTTCAAGCTTCCAGCTACTGTAAGGGAACATGGTGGAGCCAGAGAAGCCCTGGAAGCAGTAGAAGAAGCCTTAAGGGTGATGTGTTCCACAGCCCTCGTTTTACAGTCTAGGGAGAAAGGCAGCCCCCTGCCCAGCATCGTATGTCAGGTAGTACAGAGCCTGAATTCACACTCAGTTTTCCTGAATCCTAATCCAGTGCCATCTCTAAAGGAATAGAGAGCAGAAACCAGGAGTCCTGTGATGTCAAGATGAGAGGTTTACTAGACTATTGAAAGAGGATGGAGTTTGGGGGCCAGGAAGTGGACTAGAGCAATGGTGGCCATCCAGGCATTCCCTGGAGGGGGTGGCAGGATGACAGTGCACAGTGATTCTTAGCTGAATGGGACTTCAGACCTCATCTGGTTTAATAGTGACGTGGCAAGGCCCAAAGAGGAAACAAAGTTGTTTGATATCATTGAGCTCTATGCTGGTAGACACAAACCCAGGTCTTTTCATACCACACTTGGGCCCGTTCTGCTGCACCCACGCCACCATCCCTCGAGTCCCCAGTCACCCTCGTTCCACAGCCAGAAACAGCCTGAGCCAAGGGGCAGGGTCCAGAGATTTGGTGACTTCTCTCTGACTGAGCTCTGAAGCTGAGCTCAGGGAAGAAAACTGCTCCCTCTTTGCATGTATTTTGATGCTTTTTCCTGGGGCAGGTGGCTCTTTTCTTGCAACCCACAGGGAGTGAGCACCTACTGTGTTCCAGGAAGCATGAGGGCTTAGAAAGGCTGAGTAGGGAGCAGCCTCTGTCCCCCAGAGGCTGGAGGCCTGCAAAGGAGGGACAGGTGCTAAGTGTCCTAGAGTGGCCTATGACAGAGGTGGAGGTAGCATGTGTGAGAGCTCCGAGGCCTGGCACACAGTAGGCACTCAGAAATGGGAGCACACAGGAAGTTGAGATAAGTGGTAGCAGGTGTCAGCTGTCTTAGACAACAACTCCAGACCCCCTAGTGGGAGAGAATGTGTGTGGGGTGGGGGAAGGAGAGAAGTTATAATAGCAGCTAATGCTTACTGAGCACTCACTGTGTTCCAGGCACTGGTCTAAGCATTTTGCCTGAATTATTTCATTAACTCTTTGCAAGCAACTGTGAGTTAGGTACAGTCATGTGTCGCTTAACGGTGGGGATACCCACCTGCTCCTGGGCTACCAGCCTGTGCATAAGTTACAGTACTGAATACTGTAGGTCATTGTAACAGTGATTTATGTATCTAAACATACCTAAACATAGGAAAAAAGTACAGTAAAAATACAGTATAAAAGATAAAAAATGGTACACTTGTACAGGGCACTTACCATGCATGGCGCTTGCAGGGCTGGAAGTTGCTCTGGGTGAGTGAGTGAGTGAGTGGGGAGTGGATGTGAAGGCCGAGGGTATCACTGTGCACTCCTGCAGACTTTATGTCACGGTGCACTTAGACTACACTAAGTTTTTAAGAAATATTTTTCTTCCTTCAGTAAGCTAAGGTCAATTTATTAGATACACCTCAGGCACCACTCTGGGTCCTCTGTCAATTCATTTCATCCTCACACACAGCCTGAGGCCCATCCTGTCATCGTCCCCATTGAACAGATGGGGACTGACCCAGAGATGGCAGTCATTGGCTCGAGGTCTAGAGTTACCAGGTAGCATCGCAGGGTGCAGACTGGCTTTCTGGGTGCAGTCTGTGCTCTCACCACGGCACTGGGCTGCTTCTCGCTCCAAATGCCCCTGGCGCCTGGGACGTTAGAAGCAGGACCAAGGTAGACAGTAGGTCAGGAGGAGACAAGAGAGCAGTGGGTCAAATTTCTCAGTGGGGCAGGGAGAGAGCCTGGCTGTCAGTCACACAGCCTGTCAGAGCCAGCGTCTGATTCCCTGTCCCCAACAGCAGATGGCTGTGGAGAAGGGGAAAGAGGGACTCAACAAAATGTACCCATTTCTACTTACAGGAGTCAGAGGAGAGGGAGGTTGGGGGGCAGAACTCACGCCCTCCTCGGGGGTCAGCAAGAAGGGGGAGCAGTGGCTGTGTAAACCCCTGTCTTCAGTAGCGGGGCCGCCACCGCTGGGCCACGCTGGAGTCCCGGAGCAGAAGGCAGCCACCTCAGCCCCAGGGAGGAGCATGGGTCTTACCTCCACCCATCCCTCCTCAGGAGACTCTCCCCGCAGCACCCCTCCCCCTTCCCTCCCCATTAGGTACACAAACATGCAGTGGCCCAAATGTCAAAAATGGCCACCTGAGCCTTGGGTATTTGCTGTCAATATTTCATGCCTCAAACAACACTGTCTAAACAATACCTATGAAATATGAATGGATTGAGGTTTTGACAAGCAAATAGTCCAGGCATAATACCAGGGCAATGAGGAGGGGGGCGATAATGAGGTCTGGAGGGAACACAGGGACAGCAACCACACCCCTGGAGTCAGGCCAAGGGTGTGTGGGACGACTGTCCTCTGTGTACGGTCACAGGGAGCCAGTGCGCTGGATACAGGGCTGAGCTGGGGAAAAGGCCATGAGGAGCCTGCTCGGTGCACCTGAAGCCCCTTCCCTTCCGGCTAGGGACAGGGTGTAGGGGGTAGGTCAGTGTCAGGTCTCCAGGGCCAGAAGGGTCAGAGAAAGGTGCGGGCTGGCACGGTGCTGGGGTCTTCTTTATACGCCCATCTGTCCTTGAGCTGCTCTGAGCCCCTCACCCTGGAGGGTGCTTCTCTGGCCTTTCTCTCCAGCCTGCACCTTCCTGGGGTCCAACCACGGCACCCCTGTGTTGTTCTCTCTAGACTGGCTCCCCCAGCCCTTGAGCCATCTGGGCAGGGCAAGAGTGTCCATCCCAGTGACCTGTGAAGGCGGCATGGCCTGGGGCACCTCTCACCTCCCTCCACCTCCCGAAGCCTCTGTCTCCAGGAGTCTTATCCCCAAGCTCCTTCCTCCTGGCCAAGAGGCCATATATTGTCCATAAGGTCCAGGGCTCTTGGGCCGTGGTTTCTCCAGCTATAAAGTGAACGGGTTGAACATGTTTTCTCTAACACTTGGCAGGTTCACAGGTCACTACCTGCCCTCTCTACCCGCTACCCCCACCCCACAGAACCCCCACGAGTCAAGGAATTGCTCTCTGAGGTCAGAAAGCAGGTGGAGGTGTCTTGAGTTAATCTGACAGGCTGATGGGAAGGGTCTGCTGGAAGACAAATAGGCCCAGCTGTGGAGCATGCTGGGACCTCAGCCTGTGGGGGTGCGAGATGGAGAGGGAGCTGCTGAGGCCAGAGCTGGGAGCTGGCTGGGCCCAGCCACGGCATGGGGAGCGACATCTGTTGTCCAGCGTATACTGGGAACATTGCCTCACTTGAGCTTGTTTGAAAAGTCTGGAGGCAGCACCAGGAGCCAGGGCAGCAGGGATGACCAGCTGGGGTCTTGTTAGCAGCCTGGTGAGCAGTTCATAGTGGTCCTCAGAGGAACTGGTCACTGGGGTCAGAGTCCAGCCCGGTTCCCCAGCAAAAAGTGGGTTAGCTGGTAAGTCCTGGAGCACTAAGTGAGGGGCTGTGGAAGTCTTCAGCACAAACCAGCTCTCTCCCCAAAAGCCACTTATACAAATGAGGACTCAGGTGCCAGGACCCTCCCCAGATATCCCACATCCCATGCTCTCAAGGGATGGGCTGACTACAGACCGCTCACCAGTGGGGCACCTGAAATGGCTGTTTTGGCTCTGCCTTGCCTGGGGGGCCTGGCCAAAGCTAAGGCAACAGCTTCAGGGTCAGCATCTGTGCTTGGGAGGAACCAGAGGACCCACATCAACCATAAACTTGGCTTTGTTGTCTAATCTCTGGGTGGGCATTCAGGCCAGGCAGTGGACGTGGAAGTGGGATGGGTGTTTGGAAGTCAGGGGCAGCCTTCCCCATCGGGGGCCACCTGCTGCCCTGGCCAGTGCCAGGCAAGCAGAAGCGTTCTAGCTGCTTGTCAGGACGATGCATTTCATCTAGCTCACTCCTAAGAAATTAACGGGGTTGGTGGTAGCGGCTGATTTCCCAAGCGTACAACATTGGTAGGGGTGGCAGCGGGGGTTTTCTGTAATCCTTCACTGATGGATTAGATGGTGGGGCAGATCTCTCAGGAGCAAAGATGACTTTGAGAAAATGTGGATGTCAGAGGAGGAGAGCCATAACCTTCCTTCCTCAAACTACTGCCAGTAAGCCTTCTCAGCGCTGGAGCAGTTGATGGAAGCTTCGCTGCTGTTGCCTCCCAACTCAGGAGGCTGTAGCATTTGACTGCATGATAAGAAATTGCCAGGCACTTTCTAATTACAATTATCATCATCATGGATGTCTTTCTTAATTACTTTCTTATAATTAGATGTTGCCTTTTCCTCAGCATTTGTATACTTTGCTGATTGATGACATTTGAGAGCCCCAAAATAAGGACATTTGGGGAGGAGGGCAGAAAGGTGGGGGAAAGGGAAAGGAACCTATTCTTTTCAGGAAACCTGATAGTTTCAGGGCCTTTGAAAAAAGAAATCGGGGAAAGCAAATGATGGACATGACAGGTCATTTCCTGAGTGGATGGGGAAAGAGCAGGAGTGTGGATTTAGGAGTTGGGCTTTGCAGAGGATCTCTAAGTGTTAAGCCTTGGAGGAAATATTCTTGAAAAGCCACCAAGGCTACCATCTTTCAGGCTTGGGTTTCATTTTAGGAAACAAGGCTAGGATGAAGTACACCCTTGTGGGATGCATTTCGGAGTTAATTAAATAACTGAGGTCTGGGGTAGCTTGATTTTTCTCCGAAGCTAGTGATGCGTTCTGCACATCCCTAGGCCTCAGGGAGTCATTATAAAGTGGTTTATGCTCCTTGACCAGATGGTCGGTTTTCATGGTCTGTTCCTGTTCTTCCTCCCTCTCTCCCGGTCCCCTGTAGCCCTGTGTACGGAGGAGTGTGTGCACGGCCGCTGTGTTTCCCCGGACACCTGCCACTGTGAGCCCGGCTGGGGAGGGCCCGACTGCTCCAGTGGTGAGTCTGGGGGTTTTGTGGGGGATGTGTGGGCACCTGGCTCTGGCTCAGGAGGCTCCGTGCAGAGTACATGCCGAACTCTTTGGGTTGGGCTGCGGCTGCCTAGGCGAGCGGGGGTGTCACAGAAGAGGCACACCTGCAGTTTGGTATATGATGGGGTGGGGGGCACAAGGGGCACGGGGGTAATGGTTAGAGGGATCTGGAGGGGCATTGTGTGTTGGGGGGGGATTGTGGGATTATCTGTACAGCTCTGACTGTTGATGGAACACTTCTGCATATACTCTTGGGGGTGGAGTGAAATTGAGATGCCACCAAAGGGTGCAGACCCAGGAGGTCACTGTGGTCAAGACCTGGTCCTTAGCTTTGCTAGTCCAAAGGCTTAGTTTTGTGGGTGCTCACAGAGGCTCAGGGGACTGATTCATGAGACTGGTGGACACTGGGACGCCTCTGTGTCCCCAAAGATAGGAGAATGGGACACTTGCAGGGACAAGTCGCTGTGTTCCTCCATCTCTCTGGGGAAGGCTTCCTGGTAAGCGTGGGGTAAGGTGGATGCTCTTGGGACCCACCAGGTGATCACAGCAGCCTGGGGCGTGTCTCTACTGTGGGGCTGGCCATTGAGAGGATGAGGTGTTCCTGACAGCTGCTCAGGCAGTTCTCTGCCAAGAGCCCAGATGAAGGCAAACCCTTCCCCTCTGGCTTATTTCCCCTAAATGCTTGCAGATGATTCCCTTTCCATTGGTACATCTTCCAGTTAGTGACTGGTTAAGACATGGTCTTATTTGATTTTCCAAGAGGCCTTGATTAGTATCACAGCCTGTTTTCTTCCGGATTTGAGCTGAGGTAGAATGTCCTTTTTATTGTGGCCCAAGTAGAGAACATAGCAAAGCTGATCCATTAGCGGTCTTGCCTCCATTATTGACCCATCTTTGGGAGCCACTGTCCCATAGCGACTGCAGTAATGATGAAGAGTTGGAGAGGGAATGTTGGGCCCACGGTGACCCAATGTGGTGCTTTTTCCCTTTTTCTGTTCTCTCTGCTGGGGTGGAAGCATCTACTTATGGTCCTTTTTCCCCAAAGGCCTTCCTGGAGCCTGCCTGTCTGCCCAGTGCATGAGAGCATACCCACGAAGCAAGGCTCTTGCATGTGGTTTTTGTTTTGAGCCTGGGTGGTTATCTTGGACCAGGGAGTCCAAGATCTCTTTGGTTCAAGAGACGCTCTCCAATGTGTTGGTGACTGTGCTGGCCCCCTCCTTCCATCTGTTTCACTGTGTGGAGGTGGACCACACTGAGACACAGGGCCAGGGACTCCTCCAGACAATGAAAAGCAAACCGGAGGAATACGTGAGTTAAAGGAATGTGTTCAACCAGTCTTTCCGTGAACTACAGGAAACATGTTGATCGACATGCCTGAGAGCTTTTCCCCCCTTGTCCGTGTTCTGTTTTGTGTAATTTTTCTTACAATGAATCTTTGATGAAGAACTAGCTAACCTGGCCTAGGTGAGCTCTGCTGGGACAGGCCTGCTTACTGCTGCTGGATTATAATGTCCAAGGCAGCCTGTTGGAGGCTGAAATACAGCCTGAGTCCCAGGAGCCCTGAGAGCATATAAATCACCAATCAGAGCCAGTGTTTTTGGTGCCCATGATATGCTGGGCTGTGCTGGGCAGGGGGCGGCCCTGGAGAGTCTTTTATGAACAGTCTGTGTCTCTCAGGGTTTCCGGTCTGAGGAAGAAACTGGAATAAAGGTGGCACTTGATGAACTGGGGTAGGCGGTTTTTAGAGTAAATCTTGCCTCTGGAGTGAGTTTATCAAGCAGGTAGGGAAACAACCTTGTTTCTTTATATTACAAAACTGGGCTTCCTAGTTTCCCCACCCCCAATTCAGTCATCAGAGTCAGTGCTGAGCAACCCACAGCTGTTTCCTCAATAAATCCAACCTCATGGTTTGAAGAGTCACCACCCCTGGGTCTACGCGATGGCATGTACTTCTAAACCCACAGGGAGTCCTAGAAGATGTGTTCCAACCCTGTTTTCAGGGACAGCCACGTTGAAGGGAATTCATAGACTGCCGCTCCAAAACCATTCAGAGCATTGAATGATTACATGCCCCGCCATGAGCTTTCCAATTTCTGCTTGAATCTCCCCCATTAACAAGGAGCTCACTGCCTTCTATGGAAGCATGTTCTGACTCTTGGCAAGTTTTCCCTTCTCTCGAGTGGGAATTTATCTCTACCTTCTACCGGTTGGTTCTCACTCATGATGAAGGCCAGGGCAGCCATGGCCCTCCTTCCCAGGTCTTGAATTTCTTCCAAGGAGCTCAGTGAACAAGGCCGCAGATGTGTAGGGAAAGGTGGTCATCTCTGAGTAGTTGATAATAGCCATTGGGGCCACATAGAAGAAACCAGAGTCCCCTTCCATGGATCAGCCCTTCAAATATTAGAAGACAGTAAGTCATCTACTTCCTCCCCCAAATTTCTATTTTCCAAGCTCCTTTGTTGCTCACATGGCATGGCCTGAGCTGCCTTCCCCATCTGGTTTCTCTCCATTTGGCTGTGGCCTTTACTCCTTTTAAACTGTCATTCCTAGATCTGACCACACAACTGCAGGCTTGTATGGAAAAATGATATAAAGATAGGTATTACTTATTGAATTTTACTCTGCACTAGACACTTTATCTTCTCATTTAGTCTTCACAACAGCTCTGTGGTATAGGGATTATTATTTGCCATCTTTTATAGGTAAGAAAGTTCAAGTGCAGAGAGGTTAAACAACCTCCAACAGACATTCAGCTAGTAAATGGTAAGACTGGGATTATCAGTCAAGTGAAAACCTAGGTCCTAAATCTGAACACTTAGTTATTAGGCTCTCCTTCTTTCTGGATGCTCAACTTCTATTAATACAGCCTCAGGCTGAAATTGATTAGAAAGCATAGGTGCTCACAGGGAAAGGAAGGATCTGCTTGAAAGATGTGGCCCTGAGATATTGTTGTGGAGACAGAGGAATTAGCCATGGGGCATACATTCTGACTGGGTTTACTCCAAGCACTTTGAGGTTGTAACTGTTGTGCCATTGGCTGCCTGTTGGCCTGCGTGTGCACTGCAGTGCCTTAAGGTCTTCGTGGGAACCCCGTCCGTGGGGATGGTGCCACAGTCAATGCATTGTGTATCTCTGGAGATTTCTGAACGGGATCTGGCCATAGATGTGTCTCTACATGTGCCATTCTGGCAGGGAAATTTAATTGAAAGTATCATTCTTGTTTTCTGATTCTAAAATTATACCTATTAATGTTAAAAAGAAAGTTCAAAGAAAAAGGATAGACAAAAAGGTTAAGCCCACACACCCAGGGATCATTTCTCCTGGCATTTGGTTGCTCTCCCTCCCTGATACCTCTCCACACACTTGCACTCAGAGCTGGATGCGGATACAACCCCTATTACTTAGATCAAACGTGTGTGCTATTCTGTGACTTGCTTTTCTAACTTAACTTAATGTCATGTGTTCATGTTCTTGTCAATAAACATGAATCTTTCCTCAAATTTTTAATGGCCTTACAGAATTTCATTCTGTGGATTACCAAAAGTATTTAACCAGTCTCTTGTTGATGGGCATTTGGGTCGTTCCTGATTTTTCACTATGTAGGCCAACCATCCTTTATCCAAGATCCTTAGGGCCTGTTGGTTTCAAAATTTATATTTTTTCAGAGTTTAGAAAGGTATATTGTGACTATATCATGTATGACATATACCCCCAGTGGGGTCTAGGCACTGCCCTGGAATGAAATATAATAATACTTGTGCAGTGACATATAACGGATCACATCTAGTGACTACAACCATAAATCAGTTCAATGAAGATTTTGTCTATAAATGAATTTTGGTGCTGATCTTAAAAAAATTTCTCTTGGACTTTCTAGAGATTTTGGGTGGTGGACACACAGATGAGGGACTGTGGCCCTGGATAAAAATACTGCCGTGATTCTTCTTGTGCATAAATCCTTGCCCACTTGTTCCAATTTCTTCTTCGGATAAATTCCTGGAAGTGGCAGGGAGGGTTATAAAGATCCATCATCCTGCCGCCTGCCCCGGCCCTGCCCTCTGTGGCTGCCAAGGGATTTATGACTTTGATAGTTGGGAAGGGGCTGAATCCAGTACTGGGGTTGGGGTGGAGACTTTCCATTCTCTTACAGACTTATAACCCCATAGCCTAATTTCCTTAAGGCCTGGACTAATTTCTTTCTGCTCCATAAAGGAAGTGAGGTGATACTAATTTGCCTGGTAGGTGGACACACATCAGCGCCTGGGGATAATTCTGAGATGTTAGGCGAACCAATACGGGGAAGTGGAGCGGCTGCATGCTTGGTCATAAACCTCCATCCTATATAATAATGAAGAATAAAAGGATGAAATGTCAGTCTACCCTGAATAAAGACTACAGAGTGACTCTTATTAAATTGCACTAATCTCACAAGTGGAGATAAAAAGAAAAAAAAGTTTTCCTATATTGAATATCTAGCTTTTTAAAGTAATTAGGAATATTAAAGCACTGACAATGATTGAGATAGAAGCATTATTCATAACTTTTATTTCCGCACTGGGCAGTGATCCAGTATATTTCATTTATGAGGTTTTAGCTGTAAGGAGAAGGACGTGAGCCAATTCCTAAATTAAATATGCCCTGTTAACTTTTATAAATGTTACCAAAGAATCAACTTGGAAATTTAAGCCTTCACTGTATTATTTAATTATTCTATTTCTTGGGTCCTGCTTCTCTGCTTCCATCTCATGGTGCTTTGAAGTTTGGGTTCTGGGCTATAGAATAATATTTTGGTTTTGGGCTCAGACCTCCGCAAAAGGGCTGAGTTAGGCAAGACAGAGAAGCCCACTCCACCCCCCACCATTTCCCCGCCATTTCTCACATTCTTAGATTCCACTAAACTGGTTTTATCCACATGCACAAACAGAGCGTAGGAAAGTAAAAGCTCACTACACAGTTTCTTACTATCTG